TTTTTTTTTTTTTTTTTTTTTTTTTTTTTTTTTTTTTTTTTTCTTAGACATTAACCGCATCCATTAAAAACACCAAATTATTTATTCGTCAATATTGCTTCCTAACAAGTTATTATATTCATAAAAAGTAATGTAAATTTATTATTTATTTAAATACCTTTTTGGATTATATACTGATCTTTGGATTAATACTGATCAATCTGTATTATGAAATATTTTTTTAAAAATATTTTATATTGTATATACATACTATACATATATTATTTTTATGAAGGAAGCATATATATATATATATATATATATATATATATATATATACAGGCAGGTATATATATATATGTATTATTTTTGTAAAGAAAAATTATAAAAATTCCATGATGAAAGGAGGAGGGTAAGGGATAAGTCTTAAACCGCTTTTATCCAGGTATAAGTACGTCATTGGGTTGAAAGTACAAGATACGACAGCTGCATCAGCTCAACGAAGACTAATCCCTAGTACTTTGATATTTAAAGGGTGATATGTATTCTCGTTTTCTTACAGGACACCTAGTGGACAAAATAGACCCATTGACACATTGAAAATTCTTTTCCCCAGTTTCTCTCTCTCTCTCTCTCTCTCTTTCTCTCTTTCTCTCTTTCTCTCTCTCTTTTTCTCTCTCTTTTTCATATTTTTAAATACGATGTTAAAACAATGAGCCTATTTTTAAATACGATATAATTATCAAGCGAGTATATTGAATTGTTCAAATGGACGAATGGATGTACACCAATGAGTTTCTAGAATAATTTCAATAATCATTTCTAATCATCATTTTTAATTTTGTCGATATTAAACTTATGATATTTATTATGATATTAATTACTTATGATATTAATATGATTAAACTTAGTGATATTTTTTATTATACGTAGAATCATAATACGATTTTTTCTTGAAAATTTTCCCTGCAAGAGGAAGGAAAAAATGAAAAGGAAAGAAAAGAAAAGAAAAGGAAACAAAAAAAATGGAGTTTCAAGGACACAAGATGGCGTCATGCGTGCAAATTTATAACCGTGAATACTCGTAAATTTTCAATCGTTCATCTTGATCGCGTGACTTCTCTCTCTCTCTCTCTTTCCCGAAAAGAAAAAAAGAAAAGAAAATAATAATTTTCCCGGTACCACGCGCGGAATAAAAAAAAAAAAAAAGAAAGAAAAGGAAAGAAAGGAAAAGAAAAAGATAAACAAAAAGAAATACAATGAGAGTTTCGAGGACAAGATGGCGTCTAGGTTATGGCAAAGCGTGCAAATTTATTACCGTGAATACTCGTAAATTTTCAATCGTCCGTCGTTGATAACGCGCCTGAGTTCTTTTGAAAAACTTTCCATTACATGCGTGCGAGCGTGGAAAGTAAAATAAAAAAAAAAAAAAAAAAGAAATATATATATATATATATATACATATATATAAAAACAAGGAAAGGAGGAAGGAAAAAAGGAGGGGAAAAGAAAGCTGTAATCAACCAAAAAAAGAAAAAAAAAAAAAGAAAAAAAAAAGAAAAGAAAGAAAGAAAAAAAGAAAAAAAAAAGAAGAGAAAGGAAAAGAAAAAGAAAAGAAAAAAAACGAAGAAGAAGAAGAAGAGGAGAGTGAAGTTTCGAGGACAAGATGGCGTCTAGCAGATATTTTTTTCTGAATATATCGAGGACGCTAACGTGCCAAAGCAAAAGGGTGTGGAACGGTTTCTATTAATAATCGGTTGCATCGTGTCCACAACACACGTTGGCCCCGGTCCGTCCAAGTTTTACGAAGAGTCAGGATATTACGGACGAGCCAATGCAATTTCGTCATGATAAAGAACTCACGTGCATATACACATACCTATATACATCTACATGCATTTACTATGTAATGTGTGTGTGTGTGTGTGTGTGTGTGTGTGTGTGTGTGTGTGGAGGGGTATGGATCTGTTCGGTATGATATATATTATCACTATCATCTCCTTTAATATTTCTTTATAAAATGGAAAAGGAAATTTTTCAATAACAAATATTTTTCAATAATAAAAATAAACCAATGAAAATTTTCTCTATCTATTTAAAGGTATCTTATTTTTCCTAAAAATTCTTATTGTTCTTCTTATTTCTATATAACAAAAGAAAAGAAAATCTTCTTTTTATCTTTATATTACTTATGCCTTATTACCTGTGTCATTAAAAAGATTCATTATGTTAAGCTACTTAAAATATTTTAGATAAGTATAAAGATAACCGATAGAATACTATAAAAATTCACTTTCTCTATTTGTTAGTATTATTTATCTTTTTAATATAATATGGGACGAAAGATATAATAAAAAAAAAAGGAGAGAGAGAGAGAAAGAGAGAAAGAAATTAAAAACAGTAAAGATATTTTTCATTGTAATTATTCTTACGTTTAACTTTCTTTTCTTTTTTTTTTTTTTTTTTTTTTTTTATTACACCTTAGTCAAAATGAAAAGTCAATTCTTACTCTCCATTCAAAATTCGCCATCTTATTTTATATATATATATACATGTATGTATATATATATATATATATGTATGTATATTTATGTATATATGTATGTATACATACGTACGTACATACGCACAGGAATGAATATAACATACGATAATAACAAACGACTCGTTAATAATGTAACGCATTGCCAAGAGTTTTCCTTCTCTCTTTCTTTTTTCCCCTTTCTTTTTTTTTTTTCTTTGACGCTCCTTAAAATTCAAATTATAAAATAGACGCGAGAGAATCGCGGGCATATTTGATTGGCCAATGACGTTAAGACTCGCTATGGCCAGGTCTGTAACTGTCATGTGTGACACCACCTGTGAGTACGGCTCTTGTAAATTACTCTCTCTCTTTCTCTCTTTCTCTCTTTCTCTCTTTCTCTTTCTCTCTCTTGTTGATTTTTCCAAAAATGCAACCAAATGCGTATCACTTAAAATACGAATGCATTTGGCGTTGCACACGCATATGCGTAAGTTTTTCTCTCTCTCTCTCTCTCTCTCTCTCACTCTTTCGATCGAGTCGAGAGCAACCCGTACGACCTGGAAATCGCGAAAAAGCGAGCTTTCGCATCCCTTTTTAGACGGCACCAGAGCCACGAACGAAGATCCGGTTTCACTTGGCTTCGAGACAAGAGAGAAAGAGAGAGAGAGAGAGAGAGAGAGAGAGAGAGAGTGAGAAAGTCTGTGTAGCGTATGCGTGCATGAGAGAGATAGCGCCAACTCGATGCAAAGCTTTCCGATCAAACGATGTAGATGACCGATCGTGTTCCGTATTTCTTTCCTTTTTTCTTTTTGTTTCACTCTCTCTCTCTCTCTCTCTCTCTCTCTCTTTCTCTTTCTCTCTTTCTCTCTCTCTGTCTATTCCACTCTTTTCTTAACCTCTCTTCTTTTTTTGCAGTTCGAAAGATGTTGTTTACGCGAACTGTACTTTGTACAGTGAAAGATAAAAAAGAGAGAAAGAGAGAGAGAGAGAGAGAGAGAGAATGAAAAAGTTGGTAAACTCAACTTGCGTTGGTTAACGCTATTTTTATGATTTACAAAAAGACATTAGTACACTAAGTTATTAATACATTGTGACTCTCTCTCTCTCTCTCTCTCTCTCTTTTTCTCTGCTTCAACAAGAGAAAGATATCTACATACATGTGTGTGTGTGTGTATACATCGAGGTATCTCGGCGCCTTCTCTCTCTCTCTCTCTGTCTCTGTCACTGTCTCTCTCTCTCATACTCCCAAATAAACAGTGCCGGCGTACGAACACATACGAAGATACACGACGTCTTTCGTACGTACGTTCGTACACGTTCGGTTATAATCGTCTTCCTCCTTCACCTTCCCCCCCGCCACAGAACCACCGAATATATCTATGTATTTCACAAACATTTTACTACGTCATTTTCGGGGGAAAATCCAAGAGGGAGGCCTCTCTTTGAAGGCGGGCCGCGTTTGATCTCTCGAAGGGAAAGCAAACGAAGCCAGAGTGAAATTACCTTGTCGTCGATCGGCGACGCGTATCGAACGATAATCGAACGAAAGAACGAACGGATGGACGGATCGACCGACTGAAAAATGAACGTACTGACCGAACGGACTAGATCCAAACTTTTTTAAAATATAAAAAATACCATTTGATTACGGTCTTATGTAAAAATAGTTGAATAATTATTATTATTATTGTTATTATAATTATAATTATTTGTAACGTTGTTAAATGCGAAAGAATTTATTTGGATTTTTCATTTCGATATATATATATATATATATATATATATATATATATATATCCTAAAAGACATGTAGTTTTTGATCCTATTACAAAAGTTTCTTATACAATTTCAATATAATAATAGGAATGACTTCGTACAGGAGAAAATAAAAAAGAAAAAGAAAATACTAAAAGAATATCTATAATTTATTCTTACGATAAATGTCCTAAGAAAATTTTCGTATATTCTAAAGAAAGAACGATTTAAATTTATGATCCTTATGGATATTTTGGATTAGCGTATTGTAGAAATTTTTTTTCTTATCACTTATTATTTCTTTTTATATTATACGTCAGTATTTATGACGTATACGAATAATCGACTAAGTACAGTTATTAGTATTTAGTAATATAAGAAAAATTGAGAAAGAAAGAAAGAAAGAAAGAAAGAAAGAAAAAGGTCAAAATTTATTAGGGATACCGTGGATAATAGGTTCTTACCTGATTGGAAAGTTTACTAGAGAGGGTTATAGATGGCGCGCGTGTTCGAATAGTAGGAAAAGTAACCAACAACGGCAGTTCAGTCGTCAGTCGAGCTCGAGCGATCAAGTAGAGAGGATCGTGTCCGCGCGTGGTAAAGCGGTGGGGGGAAAAAAAGAGAATCGAGAGGAAGAGAAGAAGGAATTAGTGTTGGTGTGTCGTGTGTATAATAGTTAATCAACGGCAACCAAAAAAGTTTTCGTTCGACTTGTTACACGCGCCATGTGTTATCATGTTTCAAAGTTCTTTTTCTTCTTTTTTTTTTTTTTTTTAAGTAAATGTGAAATACACGTTGTGGCCGCATAACAAACGGAAAAGAAAAGAGAAAGAAGAAAAGAGAAAAAGGAAAAGGTAATTGAGAAACGTAGAATCATTAGTTGACAGTAATGAAATCGTTCTTGATATCGTATCGATATGATTAATCAAATGTTGATACGTTGGACGAGAATAATTGTGTTTTAAGAAGTATATTTTATTTGCAATTTTATTTGTCTCTCTCTCTCATTCTTTCTCACTTTATTTATCTGTTTCTGTCTCTATCCCTCTCTCACTCTCTCTCTCTCTCTATCTCTCTCTCTCTCTCTCTCTCTCTCTCTCTCGTAAGAAAATTATTTAGAAAGAGTGCATATAAGAAGAGGTTAGAAATAATATTATGAACGTGATAAGGAGAACGGTAGAGTGTTGTGCGAGAAAGTGGCGAAAACTGTGAGGACGAGAGAAGAGGAAGTGGAGACGACGGTGGAAACGTCGGAGGAGGAAGAGGAGGCGGAGGACGATAGAAAGAAACGGTGTAATAACAGTGAGGAAGAGGAAGAAGAAGACGACGACGACGACGACGACGAAGAAGAAGAGAAGAAACGTGTTGGTAGTGGTCGGTGACACAGAGAAGAATAACAGTGGTGGTAGTAGTGTTTGATGGTGGTGGTAACAGTGCGTCGACAATTTTTACTCTTCAAAAATACTACTCTACTAATGTAATAGTAGTAGTCGTAGTAGTAGTAGTAGTTTATAGTAATAGTAATAAAAATTATAATAATAATAATAATAATAATCGCTCGGTAAATCGGTGTGCTGCGTGCGCGTGTTATGATGTGGTGATGTTTTCCGTGGCGCGTATAAGAGAGGTGCTGCTGCGCTGTCAAAAAAAGAAAGAGATAGAATAACAGCGGCAAAAGCAATAGCAACAGCAGCAGCAGCAGCAGCTGCTCAGTGATATTGTTGTTGTCGTACCGTCGTGTACACTTATTGCGTGTGGCGGCAGTAAAAGCGTGCGTCAGAGAATAAGTGTTTGGGACACGCACTATATTTTTCCTCGATGCGTGTGTGCGCCGCGTAGTCAACTATCTTTCATTCTCTCTCTCTCTCTCTCTCTCTCTCGCTCTCTGTTGCAATATACAGTGGCAGCCGGGCAGGCGCATTGGTACGTCGTTTCGTTGGTTGTGTTCACGTTCTCTCGCGTCTCTACCCCTCGTCAAAAAGAGAGAGAGAAAACGTTTCTCTTTATCCTCTTCTACCACCCATTATATATATATATATATCAAACACACATATACAAACTATACATATATATATAGCCATCACCTACCTCGTCGTTTGTAGTCACTGTCCTTCTCTTTCCGTGTCTCTCATCCAGTCTGTCTCTCTCTCTCTCTTTCTCTCTCTCTCTCTCTCTCTCTCTCTTTCTTTCCCTCTCTCTTTCTCACAAACACTCATCACGAACCACATCCACCCGTTGTCCTCTCTCTTTCTCGCTCTCTCTCTCTCTTGCTCACTCGCTCGCTCGGTCGGTCGGTCGTTCGTTCGTTCGTTCGTTCGTTCGTTCGTTCTATCGCACGCTCTGGGGCCACCGCACCGAAGGCGACCGAGCCAGGCCACCAGGCGCTGCTACGCAAGATGGCTGTGTGTCGCTAACGAGAGCCCAAAGAGAACCGGACGGGTAAACGAGAAGCCGGGGCATAAACGGAACATGCGGCTACGCGATCATCGGGCCCGTCCCTGAAGAGAGAGACACTGGCCAACTTAGCAGAGAGGAGGTAAGTGTCTCTTTCTATTATTTTCTTTTTACCTTTATTTCTTTATTTATTTATATCTTTGTCTCTAACACTGCATCTTTTTTGTCTCTATCTATTGCTCTCTTTTTCTCTCTCTCTCTCTCTCTCTCTCTCATTCTCTATAATTCTCTATCTATCTATCTATCTGTCTATCTCTTCTTGATATCACAGAACAACCTAACCTCTTTTCAAGTCTCGCGGTTTCGAACTGTCTTCGAAAACTTCAAATCACGACAATGATTCGCATGTGACAGTTAAAACGGATACTATCCTGGATTTTGCGCGTACAATAGTGTAATTCTTTTTCTTCCTCTCTCTCTCTCTCTCTCTCTCTCTCTCTCTCTCTCTCTCTCTCTCTCTCTCTCTCTCTCTCTCTCTCTCTCTCGTTCTATCTCTTTCATATACGCCGGTAATGTGTCTGTATTGGTAAAACGTAAACAAGTCGCAAAAGGAATGAGTTCTCCTTCTCCCCTCTCTCCTCTTTCTCTCTCTTTCGACTATCTTTCTCGATGACGTATGTGGCTACCTCGTGCCTCGACTTGCGACGAACGAACAAACGAACGGTTTCTTAAGATGTAATAATACAGTATGTTATACGTTGTCGTTGTGTCGTCCTCGTCCTCAAATAAGAGCGATAGAGATGGAAAGAGTCACGTCTCTCTTTTTATTTCTTTCTCGTTCTAACAAACGTTTTGGTTGTGTGCTGTCGCGTGTTCCGTTCGTCCTCTATACCACCATCATCATCGAAGCAGTCGCCGCCACCGCCACCACCACCACCACCACCACCACCGCTGCCGCACACTTTTACTCGTGCCAGGCTCCGTTCCGCCGATCGAATCCCAACAGTGTAATCTCTTTCGATTGCATGGCAAAAAGTAGCAACTTTATAGTCAACACCGACGCACGATGACGTGGGAGAACGAGAGAAAGGAAAAGATACAGAAAGTATATCGTACATATATGTATCTGCATAGAAACAAACGTTCTCGTAGAAGTATCTAACCTAAAAATTTCGACGAAATACTATTTCATTCGTAAGAATGAGAGAGAAAGAAAGAAAAAAAAGAGAGAGAGAGAGAGAGAGAGAGAGATAGCATGATAAATTGGTACAACAAATAAACAATGAGTAGTAAAATATCTAACCTCAAAATAATGATAACATACTGAATTCATAAGAATGAATGAATGAGAGAGAAAGAGAGAGAGAAAAGTAGGGAGGGTGAGAGTAGAAATGGGAGGCAGAAAGAGAGGAGAGAGAGAGAGAGAGAGAGAGAATCGTGTAGAAAAACAATCGGCAGTAATGTTTAACTTCAAAATTAAAGAAACATTCTAAATTTTTATAAGAGAAAGAGACAGAACTGACAAAACTGGAGAGGTAAGGTTAGGTTACGCCTGGGATCCTAGAATTCGTCGATTTCGCCGGCGTTATATATATATATATATATATATATATATATATATATATATATATATATATAAAGAGAGAGAGAGAAAGAGAGAGAACGAAACTCGTGTGGAGTGCTCGACACTGTCTCTGGCAGCCGGAAATTTCCATCGAAAGTACGACGATGAGATCGAAGCTACGTGTGCGTCGTATTACTATGTGTGTACGTGTATATGTATATATATATATATGATGTGTGTGTATATATATATATATATATGGTTTGTACGTATGTATATATTATGGATACGTCAGACTCCAACGTTTTACGCGCTTCATCGCGTCGTGTTGTATCATCTACCTACGTAAATCGAATTTATATATACGTCAGAAGAGAGAGAGAGAGAGAGAGAGAGAGAGAGAGAGAGAGAGAGAGAGAGAGAGAGAGAGAGAGAGAGAGAGAGAGTTTAGAATGTTACAAAAAGAGATATATATATATACATATATCGTTGTTTTTAGTATTTTTCCCTATTAAGAAACTATATATATATGTAAAGTTTCATTACGTTCAATATATATATATATATTGAACATATGTGGAAAAAAGAAAAAAAGAGGAGAGGGAAGATCATCGTGTTTCTGTCTCTATCTATCTCTTTCTCATAAGGAAGTAGATTTGTGCGCGATCATTGTATTCTGTCTCTCTCTCTCTCTCTCTTTCTCTCTCTCTCTCTCTCTCTCCCCTAACCTCTCTTTTTCCCCTAACCTCTCTCTTTTCACCAATCGTCCATTCTTTCCCTATATTTCCCCCCTCGATATTCTCCATTTTCTTCGTCATTTTTCAAATAAAACCTGAAAGTAAATCCGAGAAATCCGGTTGCTCCTCTAGAATCATGTTTCTAAAACGTAACAAAAATAAAATTCTTTATAAAATCGTAACTCGAAATTACCGAGAATACCGAGAAGTTCGCCGAATTTTACCGAGTTTTACATACGCGCACGCACACACTCACTCGACATTTGTGTATAGCTAGTATCGAGATGAATTTTGTATGACGTTGAAAATAATTATTCTGTTTTAATTACTTTTCTCCTCTCTCTATTTCTTTCTTTCTTTCTCTCTCTTTCTCTCTCTCTCTCTCTCTCTCTCTCTCTCTCTCTCTCTTTTTTTTTTCTTGATTTCTTTCTGTTCGCTCTCTTTCTCTTTCTTTCTTCTTTCGTGAATACGCATCTTCTATTCCACTTGTTTTTTTTTTCTTCTTTAAGGAGCCGAACGAGGGCCGAGAGATAGTGAGTGAGAGAGATGCTTGTCACGAATAAAGTCAATGTAGTAGTCGTCTTCTTCGCCCGACTCTTCTTCGTCTTCTTCTTCATCGTCGTCCTCTTCTTCTTCTTCTTCTTCTTCATCGTCGTCGTCGTTGTCGTCGTTTGTGAACGTCGTCATCCTCTCGGAATGGGAAAGGAGAGACGACACGAAATTTTTTGATCGTGACTGACCTTACACTTATCGTCATTGTAGTTATCGTCCTCGTCGTCGTCGTCCCTCGTACATGTGAACTTTCTCACGGAAAAGAGAGTTTACCGAAGAGAAAAAGAAAGCAAGTTTCTAACTTGTCAACGTCATCATCATCGTCGTCATCATCATCATCGTCTTCATCATTGTCATCATTGTCATCATCATCAACATCATCATCATCATCATCATCATCGTTATCGATGAATTCGTCGAGGACGGTGTACCACTTCGTTATTTCTATTCAACTTCGAAGATCCTCCATCTTCTTATTCCTCAACTTATTCGAAGAATCGTGATCGTTGGAAT